CAATAAAAAATCTGCGAAACCAAAAACACACGTGTTGCGCAACTTACAATTTCTCAATTACAAACCAAAAATCAAAAACAGCTAATTGCCATAGTTTAAGGTCTTCCTGATCAATTAAAAAAAAAATAGTACGAAAAACCACTGTATTAAAAATAATAATAATATTTCAATAAATATAAAAGTATGATACATCAGTATACAATATGTAGGTACGTTAGAAATTAACTTATTTGATACCTATTTTAAGAATGATGTTTGGTATAATCATTCAAGTAAATTGAATGATATAAGATAGGAGCCATAACAGTAGAACCTACTGTATATAATATTATAGAGTAGGTATCTACTTCAGTTATGCAGTCGTCGTAATAACTGAAATATTCTGTAGTGTCTATGTCGTAGGTACATATTATAATGTAATAGGTGGTAGGTACTCTAGTACTAAACCTAAACATGAATACAGAAGCGACACTCTGCTTGGTGGCCAATCTCTGGTGGTTTAGTGTTGATGTTGTAAATGATTACCTGGTGATTTAGAAGTGTTGTTGTGAACGATTTTTTTTACAATAAACGGTTTGTTTACGGTTTGATCCTATAACCTACAAATATAATACAACAACCTTAGATCATATACTATGGATGGAGCCACGGCGTATTATGTCCACACAAAAAGTTGTTGCCGATATCAACGACGAGTCTCTTGATTAGGTGCTTAATCTGCGCATGCGCGAGGCTACTCGTCGTCACGGACTAAGATATACAGGACTGGACACGAGATGAATATTGTGGTTACGAAATGTTTTACAACAGGCGGAGTTCGGGGGGATATTTTCCTTTTAGCATTACTAGCGCCGTCTTAGTGGATACTTATCGAACTAGAAATTTGTATGATGTGTTCTAGTTCCATAAGTATCCACTAGGACGGCGCTAGTAATGCTAAAAGGAAAATATCCCCCCGAACACTACCTGTTGTAAAACATTTCGTAGTCAACCCCCCCACACCCTCCAACCTTGTCGTGTCCAGTCCTGTATATCTTAGTCCGTGCTCGTCGTATGTTTATCATCTGGATTATTAATGATATTAATATAAGATAAGATAATATCAAATATTATAATTTTTATCATTATACTGCGGATTAAGGGGCCTCACTACCACGTCTTTTTTTTGTCAAAAACTACTGTTTCTAATTCCAACGATAGGTGTCGACAATTATAACGATTTTCATTCTGAAAAAATATTCTGATTGACCGTAATATATGGAACAATCGAGCCACATTTTTAATTTTTGTAATTTAAATTGCAATGAAAATTGTAAAAAAATTAAAAAAAGTACAGAATTTCCAACTTCAATATTTAATTAACTAAATACAATTTTAAAAATGTGCCTCGTATATGCTGTGGAAAATTAGAATATTTTGTCAGAATGAAAATCGAGGTAATCGTTGAGACGTAATGTTGGAATTAGAATCGTATGTTTGAGTGAAAAATAAACATTTTTTCACGATCACAATATTATATTATATTGACATGTGTGTGCGAGTGCGTGCAAGAGCACTCCGCACCGCTACAATTGACCCGCATGGACGCCACAAACACTTAGGGCCAGTTGTATCGTTCTGTGTTTAAACATTGATTAGCTAATCGGCGATCAAATGTTAAGAGGATGTCAGCGCACTATTTGTTTTCTCTCTCCGACCCACGCGCAACATAGACAAAACACATTTACGCAGAAACATTTTTTTTTGTTTTTAAGTAATCTTAGAGTAAAATCACCCATTACAAAAAAGATAGAGAATAATATTTTTGAGTGAATGTCATATCAATTTGTCTAAATATTGTCTCAAAACAATTTAAACATCATTTTAATGTACAACTTTTTTTGTTTATTTTGAAATTCGAATACAAAGTCAAATAACAATAAAATATAAAATCGATATGACATTCCCTCAAAAATATTATTCTCTATCTTTTTTTGTAATAGGTGATTTTACTATAAGATTACTTAAAACATAGAAAAAATGATTCTGCGTTCATGCGTTTTGTCTATGCTGCGCGTGGGCCAGAGAGAGAAAACAAATAGTGCTCTGACATCCTCTTAATCCTTGATTAAATCTCCGAGTGTTGTACGGTTGGCGATCTAGGTGTGATTAGTTAATCACTGATCAAAACATGGGGTTCTTGTTTTTATACGATATTTTCATTATTTTTCATTACAGTTGGTACTCCTTCATGCGGTACACTGTCTTATGATAAGACTCTTATCACCAATCATAATCATGTTATCATTGTAATATGAAATAATAAATAATAATATTATATTATTTAAAATTTATATTCATATTATAATGTACATTACGAATATAAAATGGACACTTCAAGTAAACTGAAACGTTCAGCTAACTTTTCGGCATCTGAAACTGATTTTTTAGTGTCGCTTGTGAAGAAGCACAAATCAGTAATAGAATGTATGAAAACCGATACCGTAAATGCAAAGTAAGAGGATACAATTATTTATTACAATTATTTATCATTTATTATAAATACTACTTTGTTAAATTTATCTTTCAATATTCTAATCTAATTATTGAATAATATTCAAACTGCTATTACCTTATTTTATTTTAATTTTGAAAAGAATGAAAAAAGAAGCATGGATCATTATTCAAGATGAGTATAATAGCCAGTCCATTGAAAATCCCCGTACGGCACTAATCTTGAAAAATAAATATAACAATGTCAAGCAAGTAGTAAAAAAGCATTATACCGATGAAAGGGTATTCCGTCGGGGCACTGGAGGTGGACCAACGAGATTGTTTCCTGAATCATCAACTGCTACGACAGTTGGAGAAATGTTAAAAACTAAGATGACAGGTGAACCTGCAGTTTTTGATTCAGACTATGTTAATGATACGTGGGAAACTAATCTGATGGAAAATGAAAACAATGACTGCTTTAATGATGAACAAATTATAACTGTCAATTTTGAAGGTATGTTAAATAACACTAGTGTTATTAAAACATTTACATTTGGTTAATAACTCATAAGATTAACAAAATATATTTATTTGAATAATATTATGTGTATACAATTATTGTGGTATTCATTATATTGTAATATTATTATTTAGAAATAGACCCAGAGGAAAGTGAATCAGTATGCACACCGCATATATCAGCATATTTAAAATCTACACCACCTTTAATAGCCACTAGTACTTCTGCAGCTTCAGGAGGTATGCAATTTTTTTAATAAATTATACATTAAAACATGTTTGGTAACACTAGAACTGTTAAAAAATTAACAATTGGTATATAATTCATAAGAATACCAAATATAGATCATAATAAATTTGTCTGCATTATTTTGAAATATTGTTCTTTTGTAATAGAACCATATAACAGTGAAGAAGTAAACAATGAATCCATATCTACGAAAAAAGATTGGAAAACCTACACACCAGCAGACTTAAAATCTAAGTCATCTTTAACAGCCAGTAGTGCTTCAGCAGCTGGTATGAACTTTTTTATTATATATTGATATCGTCTAGCAAAAGGTTAGGTTTATTATTTTAGATTATTTTTATTATTTTAGATTCTGAGTGGAGCAATTAATATATTAATTTTACAATGATGTGTTTTTATTTTATTTTAATTTGTGTCTAAGTACACAACAAGTATTCAAAATAATAATTTGATTTTTAACTTCAGTGACTTTTTCTGGTGGGAATCCAAATTTAGGTGATTTGAGAATTCAAAATTGAATAATGTTATTTTTTTTGATTATTTCCTATAAATATTTATACAAAAAGGTTGAAAATGTAATACAATGTTCCTCGTAATTGTTTTTCAGTGAAAATGAAAAAAAAAAATAAGCATAAATCCACAATAATTATTTATAAGTGTTTGAAGTTAAAATTTTGTCATTTGACATTTTTGGTTTTTAAAAAACAGACATTTTCGATGTTTTAAAAATCTTCAGATTTGAGTTTTTGGCAAATCCAAAATATACATTTTGTGTAGCTCGTTAAAATGATCCAATTAATATCAATTTTATATCCCAAAATCTAACCTTTTCTCCATAAAACAACTCGTAAGCGATATTTTCAAAATGTTGCCAAAAAATAATTTAACATACTATTGTACTAGGTAATGCCTAATAGTAAAATAAATTATTTTAATCACAATAATATCATTATAATATAAACTTATTAATATTATAGGCTGACTGACCGTCTTCGCTCAGAATCATTTTTTGTATACCTATAATGAATTTATATCATTTAAATAAAATTTAACACATCAATTAAAGTGACTCAATAGACACCTAATAATATATATAAGAGTGTAACCTACTTTTTTGTAATTTAATGTACACACTTGATCACTTTTTTTCACTTAGTACTATCTGTTATATAAATTCAAAAACATACCATATTATACCATGTATATAATAATTATATTCTTCAATATGAATAACATCTAGTTATCTTCTGTGCCTACATATTGGTATTTGTTTTTAGATGGAAATGTTACAAAAAAACATAGTCTACCAAGACAAAATAACTAGTTGGGCATCTTCACGGGCATCATTAACTGAACAACAACAAATTGCGTTTATGGAGCAACATAAATTAAAAATGACCTTAATGCGTGAAAAACAGGAAGCAAAAATAAAAATGATGACCGAAAAACACAACGTAGAAATGGGAAATTTACAGCTGCAAAGACAAATACTTTTACTTAAAAAGGAAAAAGAAAAATTATAGGTATACAATATTATCTATAATTTTGTAAATTTTTCAAACTAGTCTGTTATAATTGTTTTTTATTTTTATTTATTAAAAGTATAATATTATATTTAAATATGTTTTAACTAATATTGTTTTTACATAAATTAGATTTAAGTCACATGTTATAAAATATTGCACAGAAAAACAAATAATTATAACTTATAAATATGACACTTTGTACTATTAAACTACATTTTGAAAATAACGAATTACCTTTTTTTTATATTATTATTAATATTAACTGTGTTTCTACCACCCATATTATCACCATCTGGGTTGTTAAAGTCAGTGATCTTAATTGCGGATTCAATTTCATTAGTTACTCTGGGCATTCTTTCACCAAAATTACAAGCTATATTATGCAGTACAGCTGTGGCAAAAATAATACTTTGAGACGATGATACTTTTACATTTATACCTGTTGCTAAAATTGGAAATCTACGTTCCCAGACACCATAACTTCGTTCAACTGTATTCCTTGTTCGAATTAGAGACTCATTGTATTTGTTAATAGCTGCTTCAGTTATACCTGATATTGGATCAATAACTGTTTGAGAGTTTGCAACTAGAGTCATCACAAAGTTGCGTTGAGCATAGCCACTGTCCGCTACTAATAATCAATCCTTAATTTCCCCTCTTTCAAATTTACCTCTTATTGCAGAGTTACTGAAAATAGTGGAATCATGGGATGATCCAGGCCATCTTCCAACAATATCTAGGATTTTTAAATTAGCATCACAAATAGTTTGAACATTAATTGAGAAAAAATGTTTTCTGTTTCTATAGGCTTCTGCATTATCTCCTCCAGGTGATCGAATCTTAACATTTGTACAATCCATTGCACCAATAACCATAGGGAATTTGGCGATATTATAAAAATCTTGTTTTGTCTTTTTAATATCATTTTCATTGCGAGGAAAGTGAATAAATTGTGGACGCAATGTAGCAATAACACAAGATACAAGCTTCACTATACGACTTGCAGTAGATTTGTGTATTCCGATGAAGTCTCCACACACCACCAACATAGATCCAGTAGCATAGTATCTTAATGTGAGTAATACTTTACGTTCTGGACTTACGGCATGATTCCTAAATAAATTTAAAACTATAATAGTAGGCTAACAGTTGATTAATAATATAAAATAACTTACCAATCAGTACGAGAACAGATACGATCTTCTATTAAATGCACTATGAAATGAACTGTATCTTTAGATAAACGAAACCTATCGAAAAACTCGTCATCCCTCCACCAAGTGAAATGATCTGTGCGATGCCTGAATATTCTTTGCCGTCTAGGATATGCTATCAACAATGCCAAGTTTTATGCTTTTATGTAAATGCATGGAAATAGTAAAACCCTGTATTTAATTTTTGTAAAGTATAAACAATACTCAAAATATTCTTATCATTTATAATATTCTAGAGTTCTGAACCAGTAAATATAGACTTAAGTCAACCTGGTACTAGTTGTTCAATGAATACCATATCTGAACCTGAACGTTCCGAACAAAAAGTAAGATTTCTATTTGATTTTACCTCATTTTCTAATTATTAAAAGGAAATTATATAATTTTGTTTATATACAGAAAATATTTTATGCAAGCCAGCATACTGCTGTTAAAAGTACGCTGGGGCCGTGTCAGAGTGATGATTCATCTGACGATGAAGTATCTAAATTAATAAATGAAAATGTGAGTACATGTATTATCATTTTATGCAAAATTTATTTTAAAATCTACACAATTTTTTAAAGTATATTTATTTATTTATTTATTTATAAAAATAACGGACAATGTCCAAATTACAATAGAAATGATAAGAACATAGTATGATAATAATATTAACACTTAAGATAAAAATATATATAATACATAATATGGTAGTACTATAATTTATCTATAAGTTTTAAAATTTTGAATATTTTCCTTTTATAACCCAGTAAATAAGTAAAATTTAAAATCGGATCTCTAAATACTTAAAATTATTACTATTTCAGTAGTTTTTTCCCAGGATATTTTTAGGGAGCAATTGAAATTTCTGAGAATTTGAAATTATTATTGCTCTCTTACACTTATATTAATTTATGTATATTGAGTTGTCTATATTTTAAAATCTGTACGCCAATGTATAATAATGGTTAAAATTAAATTCAAATTCTAAATATATACTCGGATTAAATTAAATATCACAATATTGAGTAAGTGTATCTCACTTGTCTTATAAAATAATGTTTTAATTATATTATTAGTTCTAGGCTATGATTTTAAATATTTGTTATGATTATTTCCTAGGAGGATAATATTGAATCTGACACTGATAGATGCTTAACGCCAGAGTATAAACGTATTAAACGAGGAGAAGCTAAATATCGAAAACATAGGAAAAAGGTATATTCAAAAACATGGGAATCAAATCCATTATTTTCGAATTGGTTACGTTCAGATAAAAAATCTGTTACTAGTGCGACTTGTATTATTTGTAACATCACATTAGCAACTGAACATTCATCATTAAACCGTCATCTAAACAGTAAAAAACATAAAACTAATTCTTCATGTGTATCAAATTCATCTTCTATTGTACAAGCTCTAAAACCCAAAATTACCCCATTATCTGTAAAAGTTAAAAATGCCGAAATTAAAATAACAGCTTTTCTTGCCGAACATAACATTTCCTTTAATACTATGGACCATTTTTCGGATTTAATGAAAAATTGTTTCCCAGATTCTGAGATAGCAAAAAACATTCATCTGAAACGAACTAAGACTACTGCCATCATGAAAAATGTAATTGGAAAGTGTCATAAAGAGTATCTGACAAAATGCCTCAGAGAAGTTAAGTTTAGTGTTCTTACAGATGAGTCCACTGATATTAGTTGTACAAAGCAATAATTTGTAGTCGTTAGGTATTTTAACAAAGATATAGGTAAAATTGTAAGTCATTTTTTTGAACTCTCTTGTGTAATTGGGCCAAATGACCATGATAACACACTTGAAGGTGCAACGGACAAGAATTTATTTAATAGTTTATTAAAAGCATTTAATGATTATGATATTCCTCTTAATAACTTAATTGGTTTTGGGTCAGATGGATGCAATGTCATGATGGGTGCTCATAATTCGGTCGCCAGTCGCATGATACAAAACTTCCCAGGCATAACAATTTGGACATGCATTTGTCATTCTTTACATTTGTGTGCTAGCGAAGCGTGTAAAAGTCTTCCTCAACGCTGCGAAGAACTTACTCGTAGCATTTACTCTTTTTTCTCCATGAGCTCTAAGAGAAATGCTCAATTTGTTCAATTCCAAGAATTTTGTTCAACGCCTATCCATAAAATATTGCATCCATCTCAAACGAGATGGTTATCATTACAGGTGGTTGTATCTAGATTGTTGGAACAATGGGATGCTTTAAATTTATATTTTAGGAATAGAATTTTAACTGAAAGACTTTTGGTAGTTGACAATATTTATAAATCATTAAATGACCCACTTATAAAATTAATTTTTCTTTTCGTGGACTTTATCTTACCTAATCTCACTTCTTTAAATTCTTTTTTTCAAAGTTCTAATGTTGTTATTACACAACTTCATGATAAAATGGTTTTAACATATAAAGAAATATTATTATTATATATGAACGCCAAGTACATACAGACAACACCTATTAAGGATATTAATCCAGAAAAATCTGACAAGTTTTTACCAACATCACAAATATACTTGGGAATCAAAATTATGCAAGAAATGCAAAAAAATTCTATATTTGATAATAAGGCATTAATAGTCGAGTTTTATTCAAGGGTTCAAATTTTTTTAAAAATATCATGTCTTCAAATAAAAAAAAAATACAACTTTGGTGACCCTGTAATGCCAGCAATAAAATTAATGGATCCTAAAACCGCATTATCAATTGAAACTAGGGATGAATAAAGTTCTTTGTATAGTATTTTCACAATTTTCATACATTTTGTATTACAGGAAACATATTATTTGAACATCAATAAGTAAATTACGAAACCACGACCTTTAGCCCAGGAAAATTTTGAATTCAAAAGTTGAGTCTTCTAGCAATTCTAATAATTTTCAATATTTGTCATTGCCTCTTTAAGTTGAAGGTTAAAAACAATATCTTAATCAAATGTTCAGCTATTTTAATTTTAATTTATTACCTTACAGACCAGAATTTAATACTTATTAACACGTTGGCTGCCACATGGACGCCGGCAACCCAAATGATTTTATTTATTGTGAAGCCAATTGGGTAGCTGGCGACCAAAACCGAATTATTTTTCAGGGACCGCTTACTGCGATTTTTTGCAGAACAGTGGGCCGATTAGGTCCCATTCCGCCACTGCGGCTAGGTATCTATACTATATTTATAGGTATCAATAATCTTATAGTTGTTTTATATAATATCTATGATCGGAGTATAACAGTAAAACGGACCATTCAACTGCACAAGACGTGTACCGTGGGCCTGTTGTCTGTGTCCAACTGGTACTATTACAATATGTACATTACAGTATTACACACTAATAATAAATCTGAAACCATGAAGACCAGAATAAGTTGACCAAAATCGTACCGTCACTCACATCACGGAATGAGTCAATCTATTAAACGGCCAACTGGTTTTAACTAGCGTAATACAAGGATTGTTCTTGTTTTGGCGTTATTTGGAAAATATGTTCAATATTTTAATCCATGGCCCTCTTTAGATTTTATAGCTTGTACAATTACGCATTTACACAATATGTGCACATCTGTATTTTCATAAGTTTATTTTAGTGTAAATAATTAAATTATACAATCCGTTAACACTACATCTATAGGTAGTTATTTTATATTTATTCTGTGTTCACAGCAAGTCTAAGCCCGATACTACTAGGTATTCGATACATATAATATACTATACCGATATATTGTATCGTTACACTTGTACGGTCGTAAACCGTCAGTACTATTAGAAATAAACGTAAATATTCGTGTGGACTGCATAATAGTTTGGTTTATTTAATTCATGTAATATCTCATTTTTTACATGGCGGTCGGTCGGTACGACGACGACTAACAAGCGAAAACCGCAACGGACAAACAGCGTATAGATGCGGTCGTCGCGACAGTGCTGTAGACGCGAGTTGGCTACTCACCGATAGGACACGCAGCGCTCCCGACGGCTACCGACGAGTTACTTATTGACAAGATAGATTAACACTGGGAGCGCTGTCAATGCCTATCGTACAGTAGGTGAGGTGGGTTCTCCGCCTACGTCGAGTCGGAAAATTGTATGTATTTTCCCGACATTTCTCATACATTTTGCTTTAAGTGAATTGTATTTGAATGTATTTGATAATATAAGTAGAAATTGTCTCTACTTACCAACGTATACAGTTAGCTATAAATGCGAATGTTTCGATAACAGAATTACTTTATTATAAAAAGTAAAATAAGACATATAAAACTATAAATCTAATTATTAGAAGATTTCACACGAGTAATTCAAAAATTACTAAAATACATACGCACAATTTTTTTTATAAGCGTTTGAAGTTCATAGGTATATTGAACATAATATCACGAATATTTTCAATTTATTTTTTAGTTCTAATTGTATAATTTATTTTTGTATTCATAGCTAAGAATTGAAAATTTAATACAAGTTTGTCCATGAGTTTTGCTTACAATAATTATAAAAACATTGAGCTTAAATCAATTAAACATTTTTTACGAACATCTACATTTTTAAATTTAACGATAATTGTAAATTTCGAAAAGCGCTCACATCTGAAAATTAAAATTTTTCAGAAAACTCAAGAAACTGATTTTCTTTTTAATTTTTTTTTTATTGTACTAAATTTTTTCTAAAATAATTACAGACTATTATTTGATGTATTCTAAAGATATATAATTATTATTATTTATTTATTATCAATTTTAGTTTTATTACATATAGGTTAGGTTAGGTTAGGTTACATATAAGAATATGAAAATATTTTACGAAGTAATAACAAATAATATTGTGATTTATAAACCAACTAACTAAGTATAAGTTCAATTGTTTTTTTTTTATTATCATTATTTATGAATTTTAAATACATTTCTTTGGGATGTGCTATATAAAAATGTTGTGTTCTTAATGTTTTATAACACATTTATTTACTTTTTTTATTTTTATTTTATTTAGGTGTATGAGTTTAAATGAGCCTCGTATATTTTTCTAAGTAACCGCATAAGTGGGAAAAATATTACCATTGCCCGTTCAGTAAATCCTATAGATGTAAAGGTGCAAAGGAAAACTATTTTCCCACCACTTTTCCAATCATGGAAAACAAATAAAACATTTTCCAATGTTTTTCCCAAAATCAGAGTACTCCATACTGAATGTATAGCAATTTTCAGAACAATCTGGTGATTTTTTTTGTTCTGCCCTATAAAGGGTTAAGAACCTAATTTTGTATCATTTTCTTGTGTTAACTTCTCCCGTAAGATAGGAGCAACAAATTATATAAATAACAACAACTGATTCTTATAACGATAGAAACGACTTTATTGAACTTTATAAACGAACAAGCGCTAGGTCGACCTCGCGAAACAGCGCAGGCCACCACTCACTTCACTCGCCACGCGAAGTCGCGTCGTGTTGCCAGATTAAAAAAAGTCAAATTCCCTTTCAAAGATTTCATAATTCCCATTTTGATTAAAAATTTCCCGCACCTAAAATTTTTTTCTCACTTCGCTCGAATTCACAATTACTGATAAGTGGTAGTATATCTTTACTTCTGCCAATTCTGGTCAAAATAATTGCAAGTCACAAGATAACACCATACATCTATAGCTGGCGCACACAATAATAATTAATGGTCCATCCTTATACAATATATATTTGAGGTACATAAATACATAATATAATAAGGAATACTTCAATCAACAACATCTAACATCAACATAATAACTTAACTTTTATTTATTTTGATACACATTTTTTAAATAAATGAATACTTCATAAATTTATTAGATATAAAAAATGTTAATAATAAAATATTATCAACAAAAACAAATTATAATATAAGGAACACACTGGTTTAAGGATTAGAAATACCATACTAATGAAAAGTATAACATATTATTAAAAATTATAATTTGAATAACAAAATACACAATAGGATAATAAAAGTACATGACTATTGACTATGTTATTAACAAAAAAAAAAAATAATAATATAAGGAACACACTGGTTTAAGGCTTAGAAATACCATACTAATGAAAAGTATAACATATTATTAAAAATTATAATTTGAATAACAAAATACACAATAGGATATCAAAGTACATGATTATATTATTATTAACAAAAAAAAAATAATAATAATATAATGAACACACTGGTTTTATAGCTTAGAAATGACACTCGTTTTTTAAAAATTAAAAGTATAACATGTTATTAAAAATTATAATTTCAATAACCAAATTCATAATAGAATAATAAAGGTCCATGATTATATTATAATTAACAAAAAAAAAAAATAATAATATAAGGAACACACTGGTTTAATATAAGATATTAAAAGTTATAAAAAAAAACAGATTATTTTTTATAAAGAGTTTTAGCATTATGAAGTTTTAAATGTTCTTGTGTAACTTCAAAATTGGTACAGTTAATAGTTTTAGCACCAAATGATGACCGAATTACAGATATTGAATTTAATGTATCATCTCCTAACCTGTTACGCTTTTTTGTTTTAACGTCTGTGACAATAGAAAAAATTCTCTCCGCTTCAGCATTCGAATGGGGTAAGCATAGACACAATTTTGCTAGGTTAGCTAGATTTTTGTAGATTAATAGTTCAGAATAATCCTCAAGTTTAGATATTTGATGCCAAAACTCCTCTACATCCAAAGAAATTAATTTTTTTTTTGTTCTTGATTTATTAACACCTTTAGTCTTCTCCATTCCATTGTTAACTCATCTACATCAAATGGCTTATTGAATGTTTCAATAATAACTTTAAAATTTATCTCAGTACCATCAGCTGTTAATGCTATTTTTGGATCAATAAATTTTAATTGTTTAAAAAATAAGTTATTGATAGGCAATCTTTTTTTAATTTCAATTGCAGCTTGAATAAAAAATTCCAAACATTTATTTTTTATTTCAGTTACAACTGCTGAATTGAAATTATTAATGTATTCCTCACATTCAGTTCCTAAAAATACGAGATCATTTTGTAAGAAATTATTAGGGTCATCAACATTAATATTATGCAGTTGCACTGTATTCAGAACGTCAATCTTAATAAAATGTGTTAAAAAATCTTTCAGAATATTTTCAGAAGCATCAGATATTTTATGTATTAATATGGTCCGACTTTGAAACAATGCATTAAATTTGTTCAAAATATTTAATACATATTTAAAAAAAAAGTAAATAAGCCTTGGTATATGAGTTTTCCATCGATCTTAAAATATTTTCAGCGCCAAGCAATTTGTCCTCAACAACAGCAACACGAAAATAGCTTATTAATACCACCCAATATTCTAATATACGAGAAACACACTGATGCATGGATAACCACCTTGTTGAAGCAAGTTTCAATATTTTTTTTCTCTCCATATGAAAATATTCTTGCATTTCTGTCAACTGCGAACAACGTTTAGCACTCCCTGAGCAATATGTAGCAATACTTCTTAACAATTCTTCAGGACCTCTTGGCAATTTTTCACAGGCCTTCCCTGCAACCAAAGCTGATGAGTGACATAAGCATCTCATCAATATAGCTAACGGAACATCGTTAGTTAGATGGCTAAAAAAAGAATTATTCTTTCCTACCATAACATTAGCACCGTCTGAAGCTAAACCCAAGATATTTGTTAGCGGTATACTTTTGGAAACTAAACAATTTTTAAAGGCGTTATAAATTTTTTCTGCCGAACAGTCAGTGGCGTCTAATGATATGAGCTCTAATAATTCCGTTCTGACACGGCCTGTCGTTGGAGACATATATCTAACTAAGGCACACATAAATTTGTGATCAGTTATATCGGTGCTTTCATCTACAAGAACTAAAAATGGTAAATGTCTTAAATTATTAATGGTTTCTGCGGATTCGACATTTGCAATTACATTTTTTACAATATTAGTACATTTTGTTCGGTTTAATGTCATATTTTTTGCTATTGTTGAATCCGTAAAACACTTCCCAATCACTTCAGTTAAGTGATCACTTAGGTGAAGGGCCAAATTGTGCTCAGCAAAAAATGCAGCTAACCTTATTTCAGCTTCTTTCACTGATTTTTTTTTGTTCCGAATTAGACGTCGGACGTTGTAATGCATCTCTGATGTTTACTGATGCCTTGATTAATTTTATATTATCACAGTGCTTTTTCCCAGCAGCATGCTTTTGAAGGTCGTTCTTACCGCAGTTTAATAAGGTCTAAATAAATAATAGTTAAAAATATTATAACAGATTAAACAGTTGAATCATAAATGTAAGTAGCATATTATTTTATATTATGTACCTTGCAAGCTTTACATTTAGCTTTAGTGACGTCATCTGGAACTTTTTCTAGCCATCCTTTAAATTCACCAGATGTTAACCAGTCATCTACAAAAATGTTTGAACCTCGTTTGTACTTTTTTGGTGGTGTAACAGGGCAATCTTCATCTGAATTCATTGTGAAAGGTTTATACTTTGAACAGAAACTATAGAGTACCTGGTACTCATACAAACTAGTAACTAATAAGGTCTATACTCTATGAAGATTTATTAAAACTGGAAAGATCAAAGAAGTATAAATGATGAAAATTTGTCTTACTGTCTTTACAATGGCCGATTGCGATTGACCATTGACCATTGTCGTTTGAAGATTTTACATTTTTACTACGGTCTGCGATAGTGATAAGATAATATAATAATAATAAATACGTCATGATACATACTTTACGTAATAGTGTAATACCCATATTACACTATTAATATTATGGACCTATTAATAGACACAGATAATAATATTACAGAGCCTATATATTTTATATTATATATATATATATATATATATTATTTACTATTTAGGCTCTCCGCCAGTCAGTAGTCCGCCTACAATCTAAATTGTGTAAACTAAGATATGGTTTAAGCTGTTATCAATTATCATGTCTTATCTACTATAACCCACAAACTTTAATATTATAATATAATATATAATAATATAATCATGTAAATAAAATATTTAAAATTATCAATGTTTACTTTTCTAATTTTTTTTTTTCGAAAAATTATGTAGGGATGATTAATTTCCCGTAAACCAAGTTAGTAATGAAATTCTTTCCCTTTTCCCTAATGGTATTTTTCAGTCATATTTTTTCCCTCTAAACGGGAAATTTCCCTCCATCTGGCGACTGTCGCGAATACTGTGGCTTCGTGCACACTTCACCAGACAGTACCAGCCACACTCCACGCCATCTGGGGGAGCTTACACTTGCTTAAAAATTTGAAACAGACGATTATAATATCTACTTCTTTAGGTGTTCAATTACTTGTTGCCAAAATTTAACAAAACCTAGTAATTGAACACATGTTCAATAATTGGCATTGCTGAAATATAATTTAATCCAGTGATTGAACAGGCATATGAAAATGAATATAATACACATTTTTTATTGTGTTAGTTAGGTATAGGATACCTAGCTAATAATTATATATATTAATATATTCTACAAATACTGACAATTTTAAGTGTGGACTTACAAAAAATATTATACAGAATTAAATACAGTTTATTTGAATATTACCAAAGATAGTCAAATATATTTTTATCGTTTTTACTTTCAGAATGGCCAACACATTTAAATACTCTGAAGAACAAATGCGTTTGGTTTTGGAAGATGTAACTACCAAATCATTATCATTAAATAAAGCTTCAATTAAATATAACATACCCAAATCAACTTTATGCGTGAAAATTTCAGGAAAAACTTCCTAAGTTAGAAATATGGGCCCTTGCTCATTTTTGAGTAATGAAGAAGAACACCGAATAAAAGCTTGGTTTTTAAATAATGTTACAATTGGTTTTCCTTTGAGGGAAGAAGACGTTAAAGACTATGTTCAAAAAGTGATCAGTGAGTGGAGGGAATATCATGCCAACAATGAAAAGGAAAAACTAAGAAAAGAAGAAGAACTTACACAAAAACGAAAACGTAGAGGAAATAAAAAAAGAAAAATATCTTAAAGTTGCTAAAAAAAACCACACAAAAGCAAAAACAGTAACCAAGAAAATCAAAATGTACAAAAAGAATGAAACCAGGATTGAGTCTAACTGTGGTGTCTGAAGATGATGCCAAATGTACCTATATATTGTAAAGAACCTTACACTTCATCAAAAAGTTGTGAACCATGGAACAAATGTTGTGAATGTGTCTAACTGCACGGAAAAAAAATATTGGTTGTAGCAGTCAAAATATGATTGTTTCTACTGAATTTTTAGGTTGCGCCCGTGACCACAAAACTATATGTAAAGGCTACTAGTTATGTTTTGTTATATGTATTTGGTTTCTATAACAGAATTAACCTGTTGTAGTTTGATAAAACATGATGTTGGTACAATAAAATGTTTTGTTTATTCAAACACAAAATTCTGTACCGATTATAAATCATTCCATAATAACTACATAACGGTATTTATGTTTATAACATTGATCTAGATAGTGGCAACAAAAATATTATACTCTATATGTGAGCACTACAATCTTGTGTTTTTGATTCAACAATGTTTTTTGTAAATACAACCGTAAAATTCTATACCAATTACTGATAATTTTGTAACAACTACATAACCATTTATGTTGTTTCCAAACCAATTAATTAATTAGTTGTATCTACGTTTTACAATATAATAATTAAAAATATAGGAAGCAATGAATAATAACAACAATTTAGGTACTTGAAAATGAATTTATTAATAATATAAATAAACAGCAATATATTATACATTTATTTATCATTAACTGTTATCAAATGTATTTTAAAGGCCACCTCGAACAGTTATATATCTTTTACCATTTGATATGACATTTATATTGTTAGGTACAAATGATGGTAATGAATCATATGAAATAAAAATTGTAGGACCATTTTCTTCACTAACTTCAAACGAAAAAAAATGTTCATTAAATTCTGTGGTGTTAAGTTGTGAACATTGAAATAAGATTATCTTATCATTACAAATAAAAATAGAATTTATTAAACCAAACTTGGGGTGATGATTTTCATGAATATCTAATGTTAATACCATTTTAGGTTGATATTTAGAACCTTTTATAGTAATCCATGCATATTTAATTAATGAACTTGTTGTATTGATATTATTACATTTATTGATTTCATTAATAATACTGTCAACATTATTAATTTCAATAGAAGGGCCAAATTCAATTTCATCACCTAGTGATCCTTTAATAAATATGCCATTCAGCTGTAATTGATGCCGAATAGCAAGAGTTTTGCAAATATTGCGACGATTACTTGAAGTGTTTGCAGCTACTTTAGACATGCGATGCTTTGCTTCAAACCTCATAGACCATAACAAAATTAAAGGACCAAATTTGTCCATCATAGAATGATAATGTAATAAATAATGAAATTTTGGTTTTAGATGAGATTTACTATACTTAATATATAATTCATTATGCTCTGCTACAAGTGTTTGGAGGAGTTCAGAGCAACCTTTTTGAAATGAAGTTGAAATTAGTATATCAAAAATTTTTCTCATCAAAATATAAAGTTCCCACACAGGATCATTTTGAGGAATAAAATCACCTATTATTAAACCAAAATATCTGACAAAAGACATCATCTCTGAAGCAGAAAGTTTAACTGTTGATTTTTTAATATGGTCCATATTTAACACAGATGGCTTGCTCCCTTTATCTGGGCCAAAATCAAAAAATAATATTCTTTCGTTAAGTACTTGTAAAGAAAACATTTTTAATTCAAGTACATAATTCGAGATTAAAAAAGATAAATCATATTTACAAACACCTTCGAGGAAATCATGCATTATATCAACCCCTGTTTGATCCAAAACTTGAAAACCTCGGACATCATGCCAAACGCAAGATTCTGAAATCCCACTATTACTAATATCTCCTTCTAACACATCTAAATTATATTGTTCTACACTCCTCGTCAGAGATTCATTAGCATAGCATTGATTTTTTAAGACTTCTTTTCTAACTTTACATATACGACATGGATAATTAGCTGAAAAACTCTCTACAAATCCTGTAATACTATGTATGCCCAAATTATCTCCTAAAATAATTGCCAACTCAAACTTAATATTTCCTTTAAACATTGGAATTTCAATATCAATACCACTATCTCTCAAAAAATTTAGCTCGTCAATAAGTGGTTTGAATATTATATTATTACCAAACTTCGACCTATCACTTGAATGGAATAATAAAGCCAAAAATATATTTTTAAGAGAAGATTGTTGATGGCTAGGTATTGTGGGAAGAGTCAAATAAACAGCCCCTAGTTTATGTACACCAGATTTACTTCCTAAAGGATTTCCCACCTCATAGTCGTCGAAATATAAAAAAATTGGTAAAATAAGTTGATTTATATTATTATTCATTTTTTTTTTCCAAATACTACCCTGAATAAAATTAACAATAATCGTGTCATAAGTTTTAATTTTATTCATATACTCCAAAGTGTCTAATAATACATTTTTTAATTCCAAAAACTTTTTTAAAACTTTGCGTAGAGGAACTAACTGTTCTGTGCAATTAGTGGGAGTAATAGTAAAACTATTTCTATTTCTATTTTCATTTAATCGTTCTCCTATAGTAATTTCTTGTGGCAAAATAAATGTGCCTAGATCAGTGTAATATTTCATACGTTTGTATTCAGAGTTAAAACATGTAAAATTGTTATCAATATTATTTATTTTTAAATTTAAGCTTTCAAAAATGTTAGTAGAAATACTGTCATCTGTGAGTAATTGTGAAGTAGTATTTATCAAGGAGTTTTTTATACCTCCCACAATACCATTAACACCTTCAACTACACTTTGTACAACATTTCGAGGAACTTGAGGATTAGAATATAATGATGCTATAAGATTACTATATTGAGTTTCTATAATTGATTGGTTATCAAAACATGTAACAGTAACCGAAGCTGGAGGGTTGGAATTATTAACTGGGAGTATAAAATCAGAAACTGAAGTACAATTATTTACAACCGTCGATGTATTACTGATTAAAGGTGAAGTACTATCATGAGATAGAGTTTCACTCATATGAGTAGATAAATGTTTTTTAAAAGAGTTAAGTAAATGAAAAGAACGATTACAATCATTTTCAACACACGTGTACATAGAAAAGTCATGTGTTGAATGTTTAAATTGAAAATGTTTATTTAAATTTTTAATTGATGACAACCATTGTTTACATATAAAACAAATAGGCATGTTTATTGCTTATTATAAAAATTATGGTATTAAAATTAAAATTAAATGTATTTCTTATAAATTACCTTTTTTTAATAATGATATTGGTATAAAAGCAAAATAATAAATATTTAAGAAAATTTAAAGTTAAGTTATTCTTGTATTTCAAGATCGCTTATCAAAGAGTTTACAGTTACATATTCTGTATCATAAGTAGTTTTAATTTTATAAAATGCTTTTTGAATAAAAGTCCATATAGGTAAACATTCAGTGGGATATTCTGCATTTAGAGCATGTGTTACTTTGAAACAACAGTCTACAGCAGACACTATAGAGTGTAACTCATAAAAAGTATCATCAATCGTAACAAAGTATTGATTTATTTCACTAATTTTAGGACCCACTACGATTACCATAGGTTGTAATGTAAGACCAAGTTTGACATATTTCTCCTTCCTTCTAGTAATTGCTTCTTGTAACTCAGCTTGTGAATGAATATGAAGAATAAAGCCATCTCGCATTTCAATCTTCGATGGTCTCCAACAAACTGTATTGCATTTCTTTCTTTTTGTACTAACTGGAGAAAACAAAAATGGTAATACCAATAAAGCTGCCAATGAAGATGTTTCTTCACTATCTAAAATAAAATAAAATAAATTATGTTTTAAATATCACAGAGAAATTGAATGTAATAGTTTTGAGTTTTATAAGTAAATAAATATAAATTAAGGTACCTGGAGCTAAATCCAAGTACTCTTTAATGATATTTTTGAGTGTGGTATCACGTAAAGTAGTTGATGTTGTTTTAGCCAACTCTAATAATTTTGCTTTGTAAATTGGAAAATTTTCAAAAAGGCATTCTTTATTTTGAGGATAAATATAACAGAAGTCTTTAAGCAACTGAAACATAAAAATGCTATTATTTAAAAATAATTGTACCTTATAATTGATGTACTCTACAACAACCACAATCATGTAAAGCTTGTTTGTGAACAATTTATATAAATATATAAATGTCGTTAATATAAAAATAGCAAATTCTAAAAATGTTGGTAAATTATTATTATTAGTTCTTTTTTAAAACTTACGAGAGTATAACCTGATGGCTTTTTTAGACACGGAAATTCTTTCATATAATCACTAACCGATCCTTTACTTTTGGCACTTAGTTCTCTTTGAATTCTATATGATTCTGTTATACTCCAATAATCTTCAACCATATACCACGGATCAGAAGAGTTTTTCAGCCAAGCTAGGGGCTCTTCAATATCTTTTCTTTCAATGACTATTTAAATGTATTAAATGTTTACTATATACTGCTCAAATATGATTAATATTTACATACACACCTGCAGAATTTACATCTAAACCAGGTGATAATCTGCTTAACTGTCCACTGTTGGAACGTCTAGATGTAATTATTCCAGCTTTCTTATACTCTCTACGTCTGTTATTGAAACAGTCCAATAGTTTGCCTTTCGCCGCTTTTTTTAAAGTAGGACCTAGACAAAATATAAAAAAATTATTTCAATACCTACACATTAATTTCAAATTATTTTATTTTATGAATATACGTACCATAACTTATGTAGGGGATAAAATAAGTACTTATATGTTCTTTAGTAAAAGTTGTAATTATTTCTTGAGAAATGGACAAAAGACGTTGGCTAGATATAATTTTTTCAGGGTCATTATCAAGTTCTCTTCTCACTATTATATTACAGAGTTTTCTTCTGCCTGAATTGTCTAGTATACCACTATCTTTATACAATGATAAAAGAGCTCTACCTTCTACTGTACTTCGAAGAAAATCATGTAAATTTTGTAACTGAAACTATGATAATAAAATAAATAGTAACTACACATTCCTAAAATGCTCATAAATTCTAAGAATATAAATTACCGTTTCAGAATTACGATTCAAAGTATAGAGCAATGGTGATGGTGATCTTGTTGTAGAAGATGATGATGATTCAGTTGTCGACAATGTACCTAATGTAGATACATCGCTGTTTAAATCAATTAAAGATGTTGATTCAGTATTTTGCTGGAGAGAGAATGTTGACTGATCATCAATATCAATCCCTGCTGTTAATTCCTTTATAAATAATACATTGTATTACAATAAGTATACAGTTACGTCATATTAATAAAAACAGCAAGCCAGAAATAAGTGGGATACAGCAGTTAAATTGCGTATTACATTTTAAGCGACTATAGGTACTAGATAAGATTACATAAAATTGTTATTTAATTTATCATTCTATACATGATACAGATCTAACAAATTGTGTAATATGATGAGGCGATAAGCGCGGCAGTGGTATTAATGGCGTAAATAAACTAGTTTCTGTCTTTTATGCATGGTTATTGTGTTGACTAACATGCAATTAAAAAAAAAAAAACAAAATATATATACCTATTCAAATAATAAAAAATAATTTAATATAATATTATTATAATAATTTAAAATTAAAGAAACCAATATAGGTATTGTTATTTATATAGGTACCTACCTATATATTAACTTATAAAAATGTTCTTAGAATGCACCAATTTAAATTTTTTTAGTTGACTTAAAATACCTAGTATGAATTCATTCTTACCAAAAATGGTGTACTGTTAGTTGTAATATTTATTACATTTCTCCACTCAGCAAGGTTTGATTTGAATTTTGCTCTATCTCCAATTTTAGGAATTAATTCTTTTATCATTTCTTCAGTTATCAAACCAAGGCAAGAAATATCTATTCCATGTTCTATAAGAGCAAATTATCATAAATGTGAAGTTGAAAATTACTAATAAAAAAACATAATTAGGACTGTGATCTTAATGCATTTAAAACCATAAATAAATAAATAATGAATTAGATAGGTAAGGTTAATATTCAGTTTTTGATTTTTTAAATTATTAGATTTTATAGTAAAGCAATAAGCATAGTTTTAAATATTTAATTAGGTTTCTATAAGTGCACTAATTTCATATTTCACTAAACACACATTTCACTGTGTTGATGAATGATATAGGTACCTAGGTAAAACAATATATTGTTTTTTTCTTATAGTACCTAGTTGATATGTGGTTCAAATAAGCAGGCAGCTCAGTTAGCGTAGTAGCGTTTAAAGGTACCTATTTAATGTCATAGGTACATTTTTAGGCTTTTGCTCCATTACATAGCTAATTTTAATATACCTACTTATAACTTACCTCGGAATAAATCAATATAATATTCAAGACCCCATGCCTTCAACATATCTGCAGTATCTGCGTCAGCCATAATTACCTATTCACTATTTTAAAATTTAAGACGTTAAATAGTAAAATCTTAAGTGTCACGTACAATTTGTAAAATAAGACACGGACAAGACACTAATTGAACACGCGGTTGCTAACAAAGTAACAAATACCATGGAGGTACTAGAGATGTTAAGTTCGTGAACGAATAGTTCATTTGAACTATTCACTTTGATGAACTATTCTGAACTGTTTCAGTACCTGTAACTTAACAGTTCACAGTTCAAAAAAAAAATTGGTAGCATTGTTTTAATAATATAGTTCGTGAACGTTTTATGAACTTCAGCTGCTGTGATCAGATCGGAATATTATCATAGAACAATATTATAATGAACTAGATAGTAAGGTACCTACTACCTTGTTCATGTAAATAGGTTTTATCACTGGTACGAAAATTCGAAAACCTGAAAACAGCTGTTCACAATCAGATAAAATAATATATTAGAAATAAAATATATAGATAATAGATATTAGGTAGGTATATATTATTATTATAATTGTTACTATAATAGTATAATATATATTATAATATTATATATCTGTGGATTGAACTTAATTAATAGTTACTAGTTAGTCAACAGTCCACACCAGGTTACTACTACTACATTAAATAATAATTAATAACACAGTGAACACACTAAGAAAAATTAAATTGTGGATACTGGATAGTGGATACCAATCAAGTAAATTTTGTAAATACCTATTACTTTCATAATAAAAATGATTTTCTGTTGATTTATTTCTATTTTCTACATAGAAAATATTTTTAACTTTTTATTATTATTTAATTAATAAAACATCTCATATTAAAATTCTAAAAGAATGCTATAGACAAACCTCAACATTTTTTATTTTTTATTTCTACAAAAATACATTTCTTATAAATTATTATGTAAGAATATAAGTTGTGATGCTTTTTTTGTATCCAAGCGGTTTCTCTTTAACGTAATAATCTGGCCAGCTTCTGAAAATATCCTTTCACAAGGAACACTAGTTGCAGTCACACAGAGTCGCTTAATGACAAATGTATGTAGATGAGGATATATATGTTTTCGTTCATGCCACCATTTCAAAGGATCCTCATGCCGATCTATTAATGGCTCTTGCATATATCTATCCAATTCTATTATTCCGGATGCTGTTGATGTCTGAGTGGCTTTGAATTGTTCTACCTTTTCTTCATAGACTTTCCACAACAGAGATACTGGAGGAGATGGAGATGGAGTTGATATGGAAGGTGTTTGTTCAGCATTGTCTATTTGATTTGATGGTAAGCGAATATTTCCTAAACGTGATCTCAAAAGAGAAAAAGCATTTTTAAATTTGTTATCACTCATAAAGCCATATTTTTTAAATCTCGGATCTAAAATTGAGGCTTGTGCCATTATTTCATTTTCCTCACTGTCACTAAACCTTTTCCTCAATTGATTTTTCAGAGAAATGGCCATTTGGTTTACTTCATACGGCAAAGATATATCATGAACATAAGTTTCTATAGTCTGGAACATAGAACTAACTAAAACTATTACCTTTGACACAGACACTGTTTTTTCCGAACTGACTTCGATGGTGACTTCATTAAAAATTTGCAGTACATCAATGGCCTTTTCAACTATATCCCATTCAGCTGGAGTTAAAACTGCAATTTCGGTTTGTAACACAGCTAAAGTTGAAATTACAGCATCTTTAATGGAAACAATTCTCTTCAACATATCAAATGTCGAATTCCATCTGGTCACACAGTCTTGTTTTAATTTCAACGTAGGTAGACCCATTTGAGATTGAGTTGAATTAAGTTTTACTAATGCATTACTACTACGTTTAAAAAATTCAACAATTTTTTTTACTTTAGATACTATAACCGAAATATTCTCAAGAGAGTGTTGAACAACAAGATTAATGGAATGGGCAAAACATCCTATATGTCGATAATGTAATTGACCTACAGCTTTAGTAATATTTGAAGCATTATCGGTAACAATGGCTACAACTTTATTATTCAATTTCCATTCAGTTGCTATTTTTTTTAAAAAGGCAGCTAAATTATCTGACGTGTGCCGTTGGTCAAAATATTCGCAACCAAGACAAACGGAACACAATGTACCGTCACCATCAATAAAATGAGCTGTGACTGCAATATAGCTCCTATTATTTATACAAGTCCATCCATCTGTTGTTAATGAAACTGCCCTTGCAGTTTCAACTTTTTTTTTTAAATTTTCTAATGTGGAATTGTATAATCTTGGAACTAGATTTTTAGATACTGTCTGGCGACAAGGAAGCTCGTATCCAGGGTTCAACATTTTTACGAATTTTCGAAATTCCTTATCGTCCACTATAGAAAACGCATAGTATCTAGATCATAAAATAAAAAAAAAATTGAAACAGTGGCATTGAAATCTATTAGCTAATACAATCTTATTTATACTAGAAAAAAACTTTCAGAAAATGCGTACGTGTATAAATATATAGATTTTAAATGTATTTAAGAGTATTAAAAATTTTTAAAGCCAGTAAACATCTTATTGTATTATTTTAGTTATATGTAGGAATTCAAAATATAATATTAAACTAAAATATAATTATTGATTTTCTTTTTGTTTCTAGACAAATTTTATTGTATTAATAATTTTAATATAACTAAAAATAAAAATATGTAATTACCCTTTAACAATCATTTTTGTAACCTGCTCATCAATTTGTTTTGATCTACTGACTGCCATAGGTTTCTTATTTTGCATAAAATGCATAATGCTACTTTGTTTTTGAGTAGGTTGGCTTGGTTTAACACCGCTAGTACCAGGAACAATCAATGTTTCTACTGGTGGACCTGCTCAGTTATTCATTTAAAATAACATAAAGGGTTTTAATGATAGTGAATTTAAAATTAATAAAAGAAAAATAATAGTACAGAACAATTTATTAAAAAATACCATCATCTGCAGGATCATCTACATGACTTTCATCACTAGTCACTACTGCTTTTGATATTATTACAGCGGGATGTACAGTTTTTAAGTGGCGTCTCAAATTGCCAAAAGATCCACCAGCAACACTGTACTTGTTACTGCAATACCCACATTTGGCTTTATTATCTTCTAATTCAGTAAAGTGATTCCATATATCACTCCTTTTACGTGGGGCCATTATTAACAATTTATAAAATGTACTTTTAATTAAAATTATTTAAATCTGGAAAATTCACTACGCTCAATAAAATAAACACTGTTCACTGTTAAATGCAAATGCAGATACTGTAATAATTATTAGGTAGTATATTAGTGCATACAGTCATAAAAAGACTATAGTTATACTGGGTATGGTTTCAAATGTGTGCATGATTTTACATGTCTAAACTTGTCATTTTACAATATTATTACCACTCTATTGTTTGAAAAGTTATATTACCAATCTTATTATATAAGATTATCATTATCGTTTGAAAAAACATATTTGTTTTAATTTCTTTACTTATATAAAATAAAAATTTAACAGAATACCAATTTGGTCATCTTCAAAATGTTGCCACTTCTCACATAATTAATGAACATAAGGATTAGGGATTAGGGATGTAATTTTTTATTAAATAATAAAAGTAATAACAACACAATAGCATAAAATTTGAAGTATTTATTGAATGTAACTAACAAAAGACAAACAAATAATGTGGTAAACAAAAATATTAAAAATTATACTTTTAAAAAAACCTTTTAAGATTCCTCTTCGCCATTTCTTCTTGTTTTATTTTAATAACTATTGTAATTAATTATTGTGTTATTAAGTAATAGTATGAGCTAGGTAAAAAAATGTATCATACAAAGAAAATAAAGAAATATATTTATTGCATAAAAATAATTGTATGTCTTATTGTATTTTATAATTAAGTACCTATATCCACTATCCAGTATCCGCTATCTTATATATTATGTTCAAATAATTTATTATTGAATTAATGATTCTTAATTGTCAATAATTTCATCTTTAATTGTACCTACACTAATTTGCATTTTTTTCTGCAACATATTTTTAAACTTAATATACAAATATTTGCCATGTATTAGAATTTTGAAATACTTTATTATTTGGTAATTAGCCACAACCTAACAGTTGTTTATTAAATCATAAATTAATGTAATTATTTTACTAGGTAAGAAATTATTAATTTAAGAGGTGTATTCAATTTTCAAATTTGGTTTTAATTTATTAACAAGTGTACTGGGTTCCTATAGAGTATAGACTATAGAGGTCTCGAAGTCAGTTTATTATTAGTAATAATAACTTTTATAGACAAAGAAGTTAATTAATTAATGTTTAATTCCCACATAGGTCAAACACTCAAACATCTAGATGCAGTGGCGTGTAACATAGCGTCTAAGTGTTGCTTGGGCAACACCTTAAATAAGGGTGGGTGGGTGTTTATAGATGAAAAAATAGGTAATTTTATAGGCCGGTATTACAGTATTATGAGGGGTAGGTCTACTAAAATTATTTGAGCAACACCAATTTTTTTTATGATACACGCCAGTACGCCACTGTCTAGATGCTAGATAGCCAATAGGTAGGTATAGTTGATACTTGATTTTAAACTTTTACTCATTTTGGTACCTACTACGTAATACCTAATACCTATGATAATAGTGATAATTGTAATAAATATTTTTAATAATGATACTGATATTTATGTAATCGTATCATATTTATTATGATTGTAAACAGCTGTTTTCAGGATTTTACTAGTAGACGAATAGTTCATTATTTCATTAGTCTAATAGTCTATTCAGTTCATTGCCAAACCATATCAGTTTCTGTATGATCCATACAACTAATGAACTATGTGAACTGAAGAATAGTTCATTTGAACTATTCACATTAATGAACTGTGAACTAATGAACTATTCACAAAAATGAACTAAACTTTCCATCTCTAACAAATAGTAGACGGCAGTAGATCACAAATCACAATATTAAAAAGAACGGTTATGAGATTAATAACATGGAGCCATGGAGGTACTGAATGACAGTTGAAACTACAGTACGGTTCGGTTATCTCTACCAAACGTTCGGTTATCGCAATCATACATTCGGGAATACCCATAGAAATATAGTGATTACAACCAAAATAACCGTTTCTTAAACCAAGTGGTTTGTGGGAATAACAAATTACAATGTAAACATAAATACATTATGTGCATTACATTTGTACATTTCTACCTATCAAGTTCTGTTGAAGTAACTAATTCTAATTCTATCGTATGGTAAATGTAAGAGTAAAATTATTGTTGCTTCTGCAATTCTGTAGTTAACTACGACAATAATACGATTGTTATTACAACACTTCGATATTTGATTGATTGAACAATATTCTTATTCTTTACACAAATACATTTGATTAAAGCTACACGGAATTTGGTTAGGTTTATCGAAAATTTATATTTACATTTTTAATTTGTACTACCTACAAATTGTTCGCTAATTCCAACTAATATTTGGCTTGATCAACAATACTACGTTTAACAACACTTTTTATGTGAATCTAACATCACACATTGACAGCCATTACGATTTTTTATGTAATAGCTATTAATTTCTAGTTGTTACTATATAACCGCAAGCAACACAACTATTTTGTTAAAATCTATACAATTATTTTTTTCCGTGTGTGGTGGTTCTGAAAACACGGATGCTTACATTTGTGATTTCTGTCTTAAATTTTTTTATTTTACTTACAATTGTTAATTTTTAACAACTTAATATACAACTAGGTACTGTTATATCTAGTTGTCACATTGTTTTCCTACATAGATTATATTCTAATGGTTACCAAGTTGGTTTTTATTAATTTATTTACATAAGTCATAATTTATGTTTGTTTAAAATTTGTATTCTAATCCTGTTACAAAGTTTGTTATAAGGTATATTTGTATACATTTGAGTTATTCGTTATTTTTTTATAAAGGTACTACATATTATTCATGAATTATTTAATTACAAATTGTCTTATCAAATATTTTTAGGTGTTCATACACTGGGTTTGGAGTGTTCATAGCCTAGGATGCTGTGTTTAATCACTAGGATTTCACTTATTTTTTTCAAATAAACTAATAAGTATGCTTAATAGTAATTTGGTTTTATTTAGTTTTCTTAAGTCTTAAACAATTTTTAAGACTAAACAGTTGAACCAATCTTAAAATCTAAAATGGGTAAATGTGATACTAAAATCCAATTTATGAATACATTTTGATTACAAACAAATCCACAAAAATGCCACAAAAACTTAGTTTTTTGGTAAATTTAACTGATTTGTACTGATTGCTTCGTTAAATTATGAGTTGTTAAAAATTGAGAAGTCATTCATGCGACCATTTATTCCGACATCTATACCTATAGATAAAACAATAGTTTGTATCAACTGCTGCTAGTAGAAAAACGCTGTATTTCCCTTTAAAGTTAAAATAATTTGAAGAAAATGGGGGTTTCGTATAAGAACATGTTTCCCATCTATAGCCCCACAGCACAATAGAAAATTCCAAAAAATATTAAAATCATTTTGGATTTTTTTCCATTTGTTTTCTGTACTTGAGACTTGAAATTTAAAGAATTTTCTCAAACTTCTAAACTTAATATTGAAGCAATAAAATAATGAAACAACTATATAATATTTTTGGGTTAGTTTTTGCTGACTCTTTTGCAAACTACTGGCCATTTTTAACTTTTCACTCGAAAGTGCTTTTATTTTGCAAAACGACGTTCAAGGTTTATTGACACGAGAACGATTATATTGCTTATCAATTTCATAAACAGTTTCAAGATCTTCAACCTTCAACCGAGTTCAACTTTACTACATTCTAATTCGACTTGGGATTGTTCTTCAAACACCTGTTCCGTCGAACAATCTACCATTCATGTCAATAATATTGAAGAAATCCTGAATAGTTGTGAAGCAGATATATTAAGTCAAGCCTGGACAACAGTAAATATATCTGATTTCAATAATTAAGCTATCAAGAATTATAGAAGTCACTACAGTTCAAAAGGTTGAAGAATAAAATATTATGTAAATATTTGAATTTTTGGAATTTATATAATTTTTTTTTTTAGTTTTTTACAAGATTAAAAAACTTTATTTTTTCTTTTGATACAAATATTTTTTAAATTTATTTTATTTAAATATAAATGTATCTTGTTTTTAAATTCATGGGTCTAGAATGAAAAGGTTCTAAATAGTTTTTATGAAATTTTTTTTTTGGGGCTTTTACGAACCATTTAGGCTCTTTGCCGCCAAAGCTACTTCCTTCCATCGCTCTCTATCATAGCCTGCTCCTAGTCCACTCCAATTTCTTCTAATAATTCCTTGACGCTATCCTTCCATCTTTTCCGTGGTCTTCCCCTTGGTCTCTTTCCCCTTGTCATATATGGCAATGCTTCTTTCAACATACTTCCATCAGCCCGCCATACATGGCCTGCCCATTCTATCCTTGTCCCTTTAGTGAATTGGACCACATCTTCTCTTTTGTACAGCTGGTAGGGTAAAGCATGGAGTTATTGGCACTGATGTAGTTTTTGGCACACTATAATTGTTTAATTAATAAATAGTGCGGTATTTGATCTAGAAATGATTTTTTTTTTTTTAATATTTGGTTATACTGATTAATTTTCGCTCCAAAAATTATCAACATCTTATTTCAACTAATTGATAAGTAAAGTACATCAACAAAACAGCACTCCGTCACTTCAGCCATACAGGTAAGAAATCATATTTTTTTGTTAACAAATACTTCCTGTAAAATAAGCTATTATTCGAGTTTTAATGGCCTTAGGCTATAATGGAATCTTTTATTTGATTCACAAGAACAATTTCAATTAAATAGTAACAATATTAAAATTATTACATTTTTTATATTATTATTAATTGAGGTGCTAATAACTAGATTTTATTTTAAACCTATTTCAGTTATTGGCATAGGGTGCCAATAACTGAACTTCATTGTAAATAATTATGTTTTAGTTATTAACACTACCCAAAAATACCTAATTAGTGTTTAAAATAATATCTTTTTAACAATTAAATGTTTTTTTACGACTAGATATGCCAAAAAAATCAACTAATTTTTGTGAGGATAATATTGCTGCAGCAATACTAGCTGTTG